ATATTTTTCACACTTCATATGTTGTTATTTACAAGTTAATAAAATAAAAATTTTAAAAATACATTACCGTAAACCAATATACTTTTAATTTTTTTTATAACATTACATTTTAATTTTAAAGTAGAATACATTTTTGAAATGCGTGATTCTATAACTAACTTTGTTATAATGTGTAAATGTATTAGAAAATGTTTAAACATTCCATTAAATTCATTCACATACGTTCTCATATTTTTGGGCTGGAAAGCATTCAATTATTTACGAGACAGTCTAAAACAATACACAGCTCATGTGTATATTATGTATTTATATCAGCATATTATTTAATATTATATTAATACTATAATAGTATATATAGGTGTAAAAGCGACAGAAACCAACCGGGATTAAAATTATTTAAAATTATGAGTTTGTCGAAATCATAAAAAAAGATAAATGCGTAAATAGTTTATTCTGTAGGGCCTTAGCATTATTATTATTATTATTTTTTTTAATCTTTTAAGTATATCATATGATTTTGAACCGGATTTTGTACATATATAATATGTTATTTATGGAGTGAAAATAAACGAAACCTTTGAATGGAAATAAGTATCAAATGACCATAATATTGGGTCTACCGCAATTTTCATGGAAGGTCAACGAAAAGAAAACAATTTTGAAGACGTTTTAACAGTGACAAATGTAACGTTCACAAACAGTCTGCAGTTAATTTGTTTCCTTTTCATACAGTTCTGTATAAAATCGTATTATTTTGACAGGAAGTATCTTTATTTGTTTGAAATTAATTATCACATAAGTTGATAACTAACGAAAGTTAAAGCTTAATATTTTAAGTTTAGCAATTCAAAACTGTTCAATTCGAAAAAAGACACCATATGTTTCTTAAGAACAAAACACGATACGATGTAGGTCAACCTTGCTTGTTTTGGACACATAACAGTATAAACACGATAATAAAAAAAAATATCAAAGTCATCTTATGATAATACATTTGATAGCTGCGTAATAGCAGCACGAGTATACATTGATGGGATACATTTTAATAATAAGACGTCATTCAAATTATTTGAAACTATGTCAATAAAAACATTTGTCATATACACGAAACTTATGCTCATTGTTTATAGGTCGATGGATTTCATTTTGACGTTTAACGATTCAAATGCTATTTTTTATAAATATAGAGGGTATGAATCTATTTAAAATAAAAAAAACATTCAATCCACTGTGGATCAAAATACATTGTATAGATTATTCTTTGATAAAGCGTGTCAATTTTAGCTTTTAACTGCTTATTATTTTTAAAACGTTGAAATACGTAAGCACTATATAGTAGTTACTGCTAATTAAGTTAGAGAAATGTGATAGTAAGTTATATTTATATATTATATTATAATTATATATATTAGTCCGATTTCGCAATAACACACGTATAATTATGCTTTAATATACAAGAATGTGAAACATTAATTTTTTATACATGATCCTGTAGATTATTGAACTCAAAACATTTTATTCAGTAGTAATTTAGGGTAACTGGTCTATGGATTTAAATTCGTGTATGCTTTGTAACAATACGCTTTATTTGTCTTAATTTATGAAGAATATAATTAAAATAATCTCTATACGTTCTTAATTATTTTATCTTGCCTTCTGTTTATTCATAATTTATAATAATAATAAATTCAATGAAAATTTCATACATGGTTATAAGTAGTTTAATGGATCGAAAATATTTTTGAATAATGGTATTTCAACTCAAACAATTAAAACTTTAATATTCAATTAATTTATTAATTTTAAAATACCATACATGGATTTTATGCAACTGTCCGAAAAAATATATTAAAACCAACTTAAAATTGCTGAATATTTATTTAATGCCAAAAAGAAAATCATAAAATGTTGTTTCAGCAAATAAAAAATGTATAAACACTATCATTCGTTTGAAAATTAAAAAAAAAAGGTACACCTCAAAAATAAATAAATTATAACAGTATTTAATATACAACATGAATAATACGTCTTGTATCCCATAATTTAATAATGCAGAAATACGAAAATGAATGCTAAAACCTAATATTTTATTATCTCTACAGCTCACAAAAGATATATTTATAGTTATGCCATTAAATACGTATAGTTAATGTATCATAATAATCGAGAAATAAATGTAATATTATTAAGATTTAACTCTGTAAAAACATTTGTATAGATTTAATAAGGTGTTTAATTTTTGTTATCTGTGGAAGTTTTTAATAATGAGGTCTGATTTTCAGCAAGATAGATTAAAATTAATGTTATTTTAGAAAGTGTTTCAACTAGGAGTGTTGATTATTAATAATGTCATTGGCAAGAGCAACAATATTTAAAATAATGTAATATTGAACAAAAACGTCTAATAACTGAACTATCATTATTTTTATCTAAAATATGTAAAACGAGAGAGGTAAATACAGTACAATGAACGTACGTATGAACATATCGAGTAATTACAATTTAATATAGTTTTTAGAATTAAATTTTTTTAGTATGACAATAAATATAGGGGTCTTTCCGTCAAGGTATCTATGTAATATACTAGCTAGTTGTTTATAATCCGTGAATTAATATGTGGATTCTCTATTATTTATTATTGTATGTAATAATATTTATTTTTATTTTTATAAATTTACATATACATTGGTTTCTTTAATAACCATCTTGATATAAAAAATCACATGTATTTAAATTTAAGGCATTTGAGATCTACAATTGGTTATAATACGAAATGTACTGCATACATTTATACCAAAGAATTAATATTGGAAATAATAATGTGATCGAGTGGTTAGACGTTATATTGTTCAAAATGATATACTTTGAAATATTTAAATTTAGTATAATATTACGTATCATTAGTATAATATTGATAATTTATCACTGAAGAATTATTGAGTATAACGGTTATATTTAAAACATATAAGTTTAAAGTACTACCGTTATTAAAAAAGAAAGGTGAAAAAATCTAAACAAGTGTAATTATTGTTTTATAATTTACAGAATGATTAAAATTATTTATTTACTCTTTAAAATATACTCATTTATCGTTGTTTTATAAAAAGTGAATTTACTAGATAAAGTTGTCGTAGATTTAAATGTGCGAAGCGAAAAAATTATTTTAATCCCAAAATCTATCGAACAAGATGTATTGGAAAAATATGTTTTGCATTATCAGCATTGTAATTAGCTATCTGTAACAATCCAAAGTGCAATGTATTAATTAATTTAAAAAATTTACAATATAAAACTGTCAAATTTCAAAACCAATATTAATTGATATTGATGCGATATAAAGATTTTTAAAATACGAATTTGGACTGAAAATTAGCGTTGGTTAATTAATTAACTATATTTTTCACTTATGTTCATAAAAATGTTGGAAACAGGAATTTAATTACGAATATAATGTTAAACAAATATATTCAATTAAAAATGATGAGAAGAAACCATGTCGATGAAAACTATAAACCGTTTACATTGTATACGCTACGCTTAATTCGATAGATTATTCGTTTGTGCATTGATAGTGTAAATGCGATTAGTGGTTATTAAGACGTAGTCATGTTTCTGTGTAAAAATAAAAACAAATTTTTGGCGTATTTTATGCTCGTCCTTAAGACGATCTAAAAATATATTTCATAGCAACTGAAAATGATGTTGCGTTCATCCCAACTACGTCCGTCGTGGTTATGAGTATACAACGAGTGAGACCAGACGGACGTGACCTAATTTCCTTAACAAATAGAGTAGTTGACCGCCACCGCCACTGTCTATCTCTTTTTAGTTTGATGAGCACACGCAGCTGAGTATACGATGGGATACGAGACTCCAATTTTATAATAATCCACGTTAATGGAAATGATCATAATGCAATAACAATCGATAGGAATAATTATTAATTGTCTCACGAAATGTATAATATCATTTTAGATGTATGTATGTGCGTTCACAATATATATGATGGGACGGCTTTGGGAACTAAAATAGAGAGGGCATACATAACAAAATGTTAGATAAAATTTAAAAACTAACTATTTATACTTCAAATTCAATGCGTCAAAATATATTATAATATATAGCGGTGGCCGCTAATTGGACACACAGTTAACATCGCATTTGCCTATTGGACTCGAAATAAGTTGTCCTCCAATTTGCACCTATACTGAAAATCCGTCTATTAGAATCACTACATCGGTTAATGGGATCATTTGACAATTAGATAATTAATAATTGGATACATAAATCTATCAATAATTAATGGTATGTATCATCATTATGTAATATACAAATAGATACATATTTAAATTATAATTTTCTATTCAATTTACCAATTTTATTATTATTATACATTATATAATTTATGTTTAATCATTATGTTATAATTATACATATAGGTCAATACAAGTCTAATATAAATAGGTTAACTTATTTTTGTATAACTGTAGTCAAAATCTCAATAAATATTTTTAATTATATTAAATTTATCGGAAGAAAATATGTGTATTATTTTTTTTTTGTGTTTTTCATTTATGGACTCATTTGGTAAAGAAACTTAAATTATCTGATCTCATAGTAAGTTCTACAAACGGCGACTACTGTACATATATTTCAATAATAATTACTTTGCTCTACGTACTCTACATACAATACAAACCTAACATGTTTTTAATATCAAATCTTATTTTTTTTCCGAATATAGAATAGTATAGTTTTTTTCTAAAAAAATTCAGGTCTGAACATAGCTTTATCTTCTCCCAAAGCCACTGCTGTATATAAGACGAGAAAGACCCGGAAACAGTACGTCACCGTTCATTATTTTGTCGTTTTTATTACTGTCGTTACGTTTTTCACTAGTTTCGATTTTAACTTTTCACATCTGTGTTTATATTGCGAGTAATTTTTTTTATTCGATCCATCAAAACAAGAGTCAATTTAAATAATACAAACATACATACGTGTATATTATATTTGTTTGAGTGTACGTTCTTTTTGATGTTTGAAGTATTACCTGAAAAAAGGTTAAAATTAGTATATATAATACATTACATCAAAATATAAATCAGTAGCCTACACACCTTATACTATATATTAAATTAGTGTCTTATTATTTCGTAGAATATATTATTACATTAATAGCAACTAAGACATTAGGAATAATTTATTTATTAGAGTTTTTTACGTCCAAGAAGATAACTATACTTAACTAAACAAAAACATGAAATGTTATTTTATTGACATCATACGTAGACATTTTTTTCAAGTGAAAGCGACCATTTTTGTTTCAAAATCCATTTTTCTACTCAAAGGTATTTTTGAATCGATTATGTATGGGTAGATAACTATATTTACTATACTAGAACTAACTATATTTTCCCTTTCTGTTCAAATGCGATAAGAATAATTTTTTTCTTTTCTGTTTAAATAGAGTAAGGATACATGTCAGTTTTAGTTCATTAAAATATTATATTAATGTGTCATTTTATAACTTATCTTCAATCAATGTATCAAACACAAATTTAAATGTTGACCTACGAAGGGCAAGTATACCTACTCGCATGTAAATAGTGTTAGTGAAAGTATAAACTATTGTTTGATGAATCTATGATTATACTTGGCAACATTTATCTTATTTCATATTAGTGTACGTTGTATTTAAATTTGTAAAAAATAAAATTATCCATCCAATATACAGAGGAACCTCGATAACTCGAACCTCTATAAGTCGAATTTTCGATAATTCGAAGGAATACCTTGGCCCCGGCCTTACAATATATGATAAGTGTGATAAGTTTTCTCGATAATTTAAATTTTGCTGACTCGAATTTCTCTATAAGTCGAAATATTTTTAGTCGAATTTTGGGTTATTACTCGAATTTATAAGATAATATATATATATACATAATATATACATACCTACATACATTATACATTTATTAATAAACATATAAATAAATAAAATTATAAAATGAACTCTTTGTGTTTTAAATAAGAAAATATTTTCGGTAACTCGAATTTTTTTTTGCCGATTCGAGTTATCGAGGTTCCACTGTATTTTCTTATCTATCTTTAAACTTTTAAAATTACCATGATATTTTTATTACATTATTCAAATGCATAAGGAACCATACACCTTACTTATAGCCATAGTTAAATAAAGAAAGCATAATCTGTTTCCATTCTGGTTTAGCACCTACACACTGCATTAGGTAATATTATGATTAACATTTAAATTCAGTGTTTCCTTGGAGAATAAATAATTTTCAGATAAATCATTTCTCGAACAGATATTTATCGCATGTTGTCAAGATTAATTTAGTCAATTTTAAACGCTTATGATTATTTGTGAATGGTATAATTCTTATAATAATCACTCTTACGTACTTGAGTACAGTAAGTCCATAGAGATCAGAATTTATGATATAAGTTTATTAAATTATAATATTTAATAAAATAATTAACAAGTTGCTGTATATAGATTATAGATAGTAGTGGAATGACGGCGAAGGAAATTGGAAAAAAATGTAATACGAACTTAAGACTAAGAAAAAATTAAGATTGTATAATAAGTAGTGGTGGTGGTGAAATTAGGTTGAGGTAGGTTATAATGACGGTAGTTTACGATAGGAAATGATGATAAGGTATGATTATGACGTGGTGCAGCGAATAAGATATGAGGGGGACCCAAAAATATATTTTTCTATTTACTTTCTTAGAAAAAATATTTATTTACTTAAAACCGATTTAGGTTGAAAAAAATAATTAATTTAGGAAATTGGTTTTGACTTAATTTTAAAAATCCGTTTAATAAACTAAATATTTTAATTTGGTTACTTATCATAAATGAGATTTCAGTTCAATACTCATACTAAAATCGTCGTTTGTGAATTATATATTATTTTAATATAATTTTGAAAAATTTAACCATACGTTATGGTAAGCTATTGATGAATGAAGGAACTTTCATTTTTTTTAGATTTTGTGTAAAGCGAAAAATGTATTAGTTTTACTATGGATTTTTGTATCTGTCGTCAATATTTCGAATAGAAGGCTTTATGTACAGTGTATTTAAACCGATTCGTGTGTCATGATATTTTTTTTAAATACATGTATAAGTCGTAAGAATGCACAAAATCAGAAAAATATTACTTCGGATTATCGAGGATTTGGTAACGTATATACACACTAACTCTTTTTAACTACATAGTACAGCATTCAAATAATAATAAGTTTTTTTTTAAGTAGTTTTTTAATCTTTAATATTTCAAGGGTTTTAAACTTACAAGACATTTCACGTCTGCTTAAGCACTACTTGTCGAATATTTACTCTTATACGCGGGTAGTGAACATATCATTCAAGAAAATATTGTAATTTTAGATAAGTCACATAATTATATATATATATATATATACATGCAGACATACAATCCGTGGTATTATAGTATAGAACGTACAGTGAAAAATATTATTGTTTAAGAGTTTAGTTTTTAATTTTTGTTATTATTTAATTTGTTACTATCAAATAATAAATACGTATATTTTACAATTGGGTACCAAACCGATAAAAATGGTTACGTTATTGGTATGGTTATTATAAAATAGATATATTTACGTGTACTCGTTTATTTGAAAATTAAATTATTATTATGTCCATTGAATATTCCGTAAATAAAAAGATTTAATATGATTTACGAACAAAAATATGAGTTATTCTTAAATATTTTATGTAAAGTTTAAATATACATAGCATAAAATTATTTACTTGAAATAATATGGACCTTAGGTTACTTTTTGTCATAAGTTTTATGAACAAATAAATTAGATTAATATGCAGTAGCATCGAACTCGTGAAAATGTATTCGGGTTAATTGAAAATATCACAATCTCCGAGAATTTGATACAGACCCAGTGATATAACTGATTTTATATTTAATATTCATGAAAGTTATGTATTATAGGTTATTGAGTTTAATATTTGTTTGCAGATTGCAAACAGCCAAACTCTGATTCAATTCGTCAATTAATAAAAGTTGTGGGATTCGATATTACATCTAATATGTAGTAATAAACAATTGAAACGGTGATCGCAATTTATTAAATTCTGTATTAGTTAATACTAAAAAATATCACGAAAAACATTCAAAGAATGATTTTATTCCTTGTTTATTTTTTTTTTTTTTTTTAAGAATTATAGACAAAATACTATTGGAATCTTTCCAAGCAAAAAATATGGGATACGGATCAATGAATTCATTACTGGGATTAGATGATGCAGTTAATTATCCAGTTGAATTTCTCAATTCACTCAACACTTCTGGATTTCCACCATATTTATTAGCATTAAATTTGGTACTCCTATAATGCTTCTAAGAAATCTTAGCTCACCAAAATTGTGCAATAAGACACGTCTAAGTATTACTGGTATTCAAAAAAATCTGATAGAAGCTGAAATTATTAGTGGATCAGCAAAAGGTTAATTAGTTTTTATTCATCGCATACTAATGATATCATCAGATTATCTATTCAAATTTAAGAGAATGCAATTACCTGCCAAAGTATGTTTTGCTTTGACAATAAATAAATTATAAGGTCAAACATAGAAAATTGTAGGAATTAATAGAAGAAAAGATTATTTTTCACATGGACAATTTTATATGATATGTTCCAAATTCAGTATGCTCACAAATTTAGTTATTTTGGCACCAATAGGAAATACATCAAATCTACTTTATAGAGAAGTTTTATTATGAAATTGTTTTCATAAATTATTATTTTTTATTATATACATATTGAAGTTAACAGGTATGATAGGTTTACACAAAAAAAAAACTGCACATGTGTGAAGTATACATACACAGTAACTCATTTTCCTAAATTTGAAAAAATGGTAATAGTGGTTAAAAATGAAAAATGTTATTTTTTTGGTCTTTAATTTAATACTTAATAATTGATTTCTTTAAAACATAAAACAACACCAACATTCAAACAGTCAAATAATTTAACAATTTTAATGATAGATGAAGCCGGGTATTAATAATCTTTATATGTATACCAACACTAGCGAAACTACTGCCAAAAGCTAAAATCAATAAAAAAAATAACGATAATAAACAGCTTAATAAAAAATAATTATTACTACAACAAATATCAAATAATGTATTATATATCTATTGGACCTTTAGTATTTAAATGTTTGATTAAAACAATAAATTTATAACACTAATTTGCATGTTTTTACCAATTTCAGTCAGATGTAATTGTATAAATTATAAAGACATTGAAATATTATATAATTATAAAACTTATTAAACTCTATAAAGTCTTATAGGTACACTTTTAGTTTTCGACATTATCGGCATACACCATTCACTATGTAATATTGCAGCTTATATAATACTATTTACCTATATATATATTAATAAATAATGATCAAAAAGAAGAATTATTTAAAAACATTATGACTGAGTTTAAAAATAAAATTATAACATGACTTTTTTAAAAAATTGGCAAACAAAAATTTATCCCCATGCATAAATGATATATATTACATGTCGCGAGAAAATCGCGGATGTAACTCGGGTGTGTTGTGCAAATATTGCGGACGCAACTCGGATATCGCGATGTATATTTTTGTATTTTGGGACGCAATTCGTGTGCAGTTGATTTTACATAAAAAAATTGTAAAAGTATTTATAATAATATATTTAAGAGCATGTATAGTACATTAATACAGTAATCTAATGAAGGTCATTCAATTGAATTGCAGTTTTTAATTAAATATTTTCAAGTATTAAGTTTGAAGTTAATTGTATCGCAAATAATAAATATAATGTGAACAGCAATTAATGTAATTAATAAATCAAAGAGACAAAAATATTGGAGAAAGTATATTTTCATATCAGTTTGTTGTATAGATATAGTACGTAATCAAAGTTACTTGATTTTGTATCAAATACATTTTGATAAAGAACTCAAAAGGAACAAATTTAAAGAAGATAAATTAATTCGACT